CTTGTTCAAACGAATCATTCCGTTGCCCAAAGGTGGAGCATCAACGGCATACAATACCTTCAGCAGCAACTGATCTTGCACTTCCATTCTATTTGGATTACGGGGCAAAGCCAGGTTGGGACTCACATGTCTATCCGATAGGGGGTGTGAGACGATTAAGTCATCAAAAAGCAAAAATCTCAGGATTCCGCCCGCTGCCTGTTAATAATTAAGTAGTGGCCCTGCAAGCTAAGCATGGTGTACAGGATGAACCGTAGCTTCTTGTCACTGCTTCTTAAGGTGCATGACATGCCCGTCTGCCCATGTCAGGCTTCCAGAAAGAGCCCGGCATCGCAGAACCATCAACAACCAAGGGACTTCGCCTTTGCTTGCTAATGACAAACATTTTCTTCCCAACAGGTAAACGGCTGAAGGTCCAACCAAAAAGCCGCCCAAGGTCTGACTGCCAATGGGAGTTCCCCAATCGATGAGCCCGCAGCCCAGTCGTCCGAATGATTTTGTAAATGCCAGAGCCTAGAGAATTGTTCAAGACCAAAACAAAAGAAAGCAACGCACACCAAAAAACCAACAACCAAGCTAATAACCAAGCAACAAACCAAACCAACAACCAACCCACCAAAGGCCACGCCATGCCAGTGACCAACCAAAAGCAACACCAAACAGCCAACTTGAGATTTCCACCCCCAACGGATCCAACTGCACTCCGTCTTCCGCACCTTCCAGGCTCCGCTCTTCGAACGCACCTGAAGCGGGTGGCTTCGACCATTTTAGTGCTGATCATTTTTGGAGTTGACCATGTTGAGGTTGAAAGGTGTTGGGCAAACCCTTTTGGGGGTAGCCATTTTCAGTGAGAAGAAAGGGAGACCATTTCGGGGGCTGCTTGTTTTTGCAGGGAAGCCCACCAATCAAGAAGGGATCTTAAGGGTGCCACTGAAAAACATGGGCTATGCTTCTTTGGGGGAGCCCCGCTGGCTTAGTTTTGAAGGGCAACCAAAAGGAAGGCAACCTAACTTTACACAACCCCAAATGTTGCCTGAGGCGACAAAACATGTTTGGGGTCATATGGCAATCCGGTGTGCATTGGTTTGGGCCTGAATCAAGGCGTCCGTTTCAAGCCGGCGAGCGCATGCTCAAGCCCCACTGCTGTAGAAGACTCCTCCAAGGGGGGAAGTCTGCAAAAGCAAAAGCCACCTGCATGGCAAGGATAAATACCAAACCACTCCGGGAACTCGGGGGCCATAGTGTCTCCTGAGCTCTTGGTGCATTTGCGCAGGCACTTGTAGTTGCAAGCCTGGCTTGAATCTGCTCAGGAACACTATGATTACATAACATGCTTGGACTTACACCAGTTCTTTACCTCGCTTGGTCACCATACTACTGGCAAAGGCCAACCTCGCTAGCATATAAGCTCCCTAAACCCAGCCCTGCATCAATCAACAAATTCAACGATTTGAAAGCACCCACCATACAAACACAAAACCCTGCCCAGCTAACATGCTGAAGAACCAAAGGGTCAGCAGTCCCCAAGTTCTGTGGAGAACCACTGTGAAACAGAGCAACCAGGTTTAGAGCAGGAGCTGTTAGGGGCCCCTGGCAGTGAAGCCCGGCTTGGGAACCCCGGACCCGACCCTCGGATCGATGCCTCGGCGATGGTGCGGCCCTTCTTGCCGATGACTCTGGCCATGGCAGAGCGGGGAACCTCGACGATCTCCTGACCAGTGGTGAGGGCGACTAATGCTGGCGACGGTTCGGCTGCGCGGCTGTTGCCGACCTTTTGCAACCTCCCGTTGCACTGGCAATGAGTGCAATGAAGTGCAGTCAAATGTGCAGGGGTCGCAAAACGAAGGCAGCTCAGCAGGGTCCAACAGCTTGGGGGTGAAAACAAGGTAACGCCGCTTTGTGGGGCCCAGGAATTCATGGCTTTTTCACGGCCTGCACGTACGAAAATGCTATTTCTTGCGAGACCGCATCTTTCTACAGGTGTGGCAGCACGCGCAGGCAACACTATACGGTGTTACTGTACAAACATGTTCGCGCCTGCCGCGAGGGATGCCGGGAGCGCTTTTGCACCACGCAATGTTGGGAAAGCGCATGAAAGCGCCACACAGGCCACCAAAACAAATATGATTGTCTTGTTTGCCACTTGAGCTGTCGCTGCGACGGGCACGACATCATTTCCCACCCCTGACCCCTCGACCCAGCCCCACCAACTTTGATTGCAAGAGATGGCAGGCACATGGGCTCTACGAAGCCGTGTCACCTCTGGAGTCCTGGTTCCCTGTAGCAAGCAGTGATGTGGAATTCGAGTTGGGCCATTGCGCCTTTAGTGGGACAGTTCCACTCATTGTGGAGCAGCCAAGCAAAACGGCACTGAACAGCGGCAAAAGCTGCACGTGGCTATCGAGCCAAACAAATTAAGCTCGCTACCAAACACTCCGAACAAACACCCTCGAGTTGTCGCATTGGGCCATGTAACGGGCAAAACAGAAAGCGCCAGGGACCTGGTCTGATATCATACTTGAACGGGTGGATCTGAACTTTGACCCTGCGTATGTGAGGTTTTCCAACAATATCCAAAGAGAGGCACCCGTTTTAGTAATTTTCAAGGGAACTCATGTTTGGGCTTGAGGACAACCCCATCCTCCACGCCCTCGTCCAGGAAGGTCTGCACACTAGGGCGATCCACGCGATCCGGTTGTCCTCAACCATGTTCGTGAAGGCCCGAACTGATCAATGTGAGGGGCTAAGCAAATGCCGACATGTTGCTATGAGTGCCCGTGTTGTTTTAAACGCCACAATTGGCCTAGAAGTGGAAGACTTGAAGCCATCCTGTTTTGGAATCGCCACAAACTTCCATGTTAACATGCGGGCAAACATGCCACCCTTGATCACACCTGCCACAAGCGGCCGGCTGAGCAGGTCATCTTACAGTCAAGCCGGTGCTGTGGCGGCGAGAAAGGAAATCACGTCTGAATGACCACTTGGCCCACTTTTACACAAGCAACTGCCAAACAGCGACTGCTCCCACGACATCTTGCGGGCCTTGCGTGGATCCACTTGGCGCTGGCCATGCATAGAGCCCACCATAATAGGCCGATGACCAGGATGAATATGCACCCATTGCAGCCCAGTAGCCTGCGGCAAACTGGGGGCCACCATGATTTGCAAACCTCCGAGACCGAGCACTGTATGCAAGGGTGGCCCTGTCTATCAATGTCCACCTGGGATTCAGCAAGCCCCTGAACAAATGATTCCGACTTCCTGGAACGACGAATACGCCTCCCTGAAACGATGATTCGGGAAATCACCACAAGCTTCCTGCTTGACATCCAAGGCCAGCCAAAAGAAGTGAGAAAGAGTAGGAAGCAAAAGGGAGAACAGCTAGAAACTCTGCCGAAGCTAAAATTCCCAATGGAAACAAAAACCCCTGAAGTTCAGTTTCAAAAGGCATCGCCAGCAATACCAAATCAAATTAAAAATCAAAATTGGCCCCAGCTACCCAATTTAGGGGCGGGGTCCCATGAATCAAAGGCGTCCATTATAATTGTTCGAGACCCAACAAGCAAGTTGAGCTGAACATGTGGCAAAGCCAGCCAGTGAGGTGGGGAAAGCCCAGTTCACCGCATTCCAGACCCCTTGAACAAGTGAAACACCTAACCCAGTGCTTCTTTTGCCCCGCGACCGCACCAAACAAGTCCAAGGTGCGTGCCCACTGGGCCTGCTTCTCCCTGGCGTTTGCCGCGCTTGAGGATGACGACTCAGAGCTAGAGGATTTCTTCTTGGCCTTTTTGACCTTCAGGCGTGTCAAAATTATGGCCGCTTGTTGCCTTTTTGTTAGCCCCCTTGCAAGGCGGCGTGGCACAAGGGGTCCCCTGGTCTCCATGTTTGCAATCCCGCAAGTGCAGAAAATTGTTGGCCAAGCTGAGCGCAACTCTCTCCATCACGCTTTGTTACCGATTTTGCGCTCCCACACACATCCGACATCATGAGACAGCCGACAGTCCCCCTCAGCTACAACAGCCTTCTTTGCTTTCTTCCGCTTTTCGCGGGATCGGCTGCGCGGCATGGCAAGAAAGGGAGCGCCTTGCCTTGTTTGATGCTCTATGCGCTCCGGGCTGCTTGCCAGGCTGGGGTGTCCATCTAGATTGGGTGTCCAAGAAAAGATGAACCAACACCTGCAAACACAAGTGCGTGCAGAAGGCGGTTCCGCGTGGTCTGCGCTGCAAGACGCAAGGGTCGTTTGCCACCGGTGGAACTTCTGGCCGAAGCTTGTATTTCACGGCCTGTTGAGCCGACCTCTAGCTGCGGTGCAAGAATGCAAATGCGCATCGCTGGGCTTTTCCAGCCGGATTGCCAACGTAACTTGCTGCAGTCCTCAAAGAGATATGGCGAACAAAACCTCAGGCCCAAAAAAGAGCCCTGAGCAACCGTCCAGAAGCCCCTCGACACATTCCAGCGCGGAACTCCTTACATGCTCGTGGAGGCTATCCAATGGACAAGAATACTTTGTGAGTTGCCTTGTGCACTAAGGCGCTTTGACAAATGTACTGTCTCGACCAAAAGCTCATGCAGTCTGTGCGAGCACTGGCTACAGCAGACCTTGCCTTCCCCCGTGTTTAAATTCACCCTTATTAAAAGACAATTATTGTGAGGCCAAAATGCAAAACAAGACCTCCCCCCTTTACTTTACCGAATACAAAACCAACACTAAACTTCTGACAACCCTTTCTAGGGGGTACTTTCAGCACTTCCCTTCACCAAGTTGCAAATTGTAACTTATATATGTGTTCGCCGTTCAAGTTTGAACTCCCAAAGCCAGGGGACCCCATTGATAGATGTTTCCCCCCAACGAAAGAACACAATTAAAATAACCGGGATTTAATGGAGGAAAGCGATTAACTAATGCCAGAAACGGTAACCAGTCCACTTCCAACCACTTCGCCCACACTCACACACCCATGCACCCTTCAAAACTTCCCCCCCATCCACCCTCTCGCCGCCTGAGTTTTCAGGTGCTTCAAGGTGGACGCCTCTGCCTGTAGCAGCAGCTCTCCTGGGAGCGACCTGACATCGTCACTTGGCTTCACACGGTCGTACATGTGCCACTCCAGCTTGCTGGACTGTCCTCATGCCACATCAGCTGCAAACCGCAAGCATCAGTCATTAGTAAAAATGCTAAGTAGCGCTAACCTTGGAGTCAGAATGACCACATTAGGTGAGCTGTGGAAACTAGGGCGAATGGCCAACGGGCTGGCGCACAGCCAACATGTGTATAATCGACCCCGAGGGCGTTCTGCGAAGGCAGCCGGAGTTCTGCGAAGTGTCCCGGGCTCTACAGTACCAAGGTATGCGGATTGACATGTTTCACTCTTGATGGCGTGTTCCTCCTGCATTTTCCCTTATCATTGAACGTTTAAAGTGTAGTCAGGGGTACAAGCTGCAATGCAGCAAAACTTGGCAGAATGATGGAACTTGAAAAACGGAATCATGTATCGACCTGCCCGTCAAGGCAAGCCGTCCCTCTGCCAGTGCCATGCTTGATTCTTCTCCCTGCCCTTGTCCACGAGCTGAGGCTGCAGGCAATTCCACCTCCATCCGGCTTCTCTGTGAAACAAAGTCGGCGCCTCAGGTAGGCCACTCGTGGGGACTGCGGCTCATCGCAGTCCAGGTTGATGAGTTGGCCCTTTCAGCATGTAAGTCGCCCCAGTTGCTGAAACAATTGGTAGGTCAGGGCATCCCGCAAAAAAAAAGGGGGCAAACTGGTGAGTCAAAGATGCAGATCCGCTTCGGGTTGGCTCGGCCGGCCATGTTGGGTTCCGCTTTATTCTGGTGGCACTTCTGTGTGTAGTACTAATCTACGAAACCCGAGGACATCAATTTTGGGTTTATCAAATTTCTCAACTTCATGGTGTGACGATGAGCGCCTGTAACCTTCAACGACGCCCTTGGGCGACGCATCTCCGGCTGCCATTTGAATGAGTCGTGCCAGGCAGTGGGCTTGCTGGACTCCCATGGCAAGACCCGAGCTTGCCAGTTTGCCCCAAGGCCCCATGACCCTGCCAAGTTTCAGGTGGAAATTCCAGTTGCCCAACCTGAAACCCACACTCCCTGCGCTTGGGACACCATGCGCTCGGGTTCCAGGCTGGTGTCCTCGAGGTCCCGGTCTGGCTCTGGCGGCTTCTCCTCAAGCCCATGGGCCTAGCTAGCTATGGGCCCCTCACCACTGGCTATGTTCCAAGGAGAGCCTTAACCCCATGCTCAACAATGTCCAAGAGTCCATTGAAGGCTTCTGCCACAAGATTTATCCTGCACAACTACCCCCGGCATTCCTGGTGCGGCAGGCGATCCTCCGTGGGAGCTGGTCTTGCAGCGTGGCTGCCTGCACGAGCGCGAGTTTGCTTGGCAGCTGCGATTTGCTCCTCATAGCCTCATAGCTCCTACCCTTGTCCGCCACTGATCGTGGCGTTTTGCGGTAACCACTGCTTCGTGGTGAGTGGCGACAAGTCATGGAGGGTCGCCGCAAGCCGTAATTGAGGGGCTGAAACGCCAGCCTCACCGTGTGTTGAGCCTCATGCCGAAAAGGCTTCACAAGTGCTTGGCCACAAGCATGCTGCCCAAGCCCACACGCGAAAAACACATTCAGTAACATCCGTGGTGCGGGAAAAGGACATGAAGAATATGATCTGGCTGAAACATGCATTCATATCTGCCTCTCCCTTGGGCTTCCATGGGCAACATGGCTCCCGTATGCTCCCGTCAGGTATCACGGCAGGAAAAAGAGAGCTCAAGCAGGTTTTGCACCTTAGCATGAGATATTGCCAAACAGGTGCACCATGGTCCAATGCTGTGCCAATCTAAGCCACTGCCTGGCCCGCGCCTTGTGCTGAGCCACCGGGGCGTGGTTTGCCAACAGCCTGAGCAAAAGCTCGATCATCATCCATCCATCCATCACACGAATACTCTACAAACATGAGTTGGTATGTGCGTGTGAGGTGCGCGCTTTCGCGCCTTCGCGCTCGCGCGCACGTGTGTGTGTGTGTGTGTGGTGTGTGTGTGTGTGTGTGTTTGTCTGTGTGTGTCTGTGTGTGTGTGTGTGTGTGTGCGTGGGTGTGTGTCTGTGTGTCTGTGTGTCTGTGTGTGTGTGTCTGTGTCTGTGTGTGTGTGTGTCTGTGTGTGTGTGTGTCTGTGTGTCTGTGTGTCTGTGTGTCTGTGTGTGTGTGTGTGTGTCTGTGTGTCTGTGTGTCTGTGTGTCTGTGTGTCTGTGTGTCTGTGTGTCTGTGTGTCTGTGTGTCTGTGTGTCTGTGTGTCTGTGTGTCTGTGTGTCTGTGTGTCTGTGTGTCTGTGTGTCTGTGTGTCTGTGTGTCTGTGTGTCTGTGTGTCTGTGTGTCTGTGTGTCTGTGTCTGTGTGTCTGTGTGTCTGTGCGTGCGTGTGTGCGTGCGTGTGTGCGTGCGTGTGTGTCTCTGTGTCTCTGTGTCTCTGTGTCTCTGTGTCTCTGTGTCTCTGTGTCTGTGTGTGTCTGTGTGTGTCTGTGTGTGTCTGTGTCTGTGTGTGTCTGTGTCTGTGTCTCTGTGTCTCTGTGTGTCTGTGTGTGTCTGTGTGTGTCTGTGTGTGTCTGTGTGTGTCTGTGTGTGTGTGTCTGTGTGTGTCTGTGTGTGTCTGTGTGTGTCTGTGTGTGTCTGTGTGTGTCTGTGTGTGTCTGTGTGTGTGTGTGTGTGTGTGTCTGTGTGTGTCTGTGTGTGTCTGTGTGTGTCTGTGTTTGTCTGTGTGTGTGTGTCTGTGTGTGTGTGTGTCTGTGTGTGTGTGTCTGTGTGTGTGTCTGTGTGTGTGTGTGTCTGTGTGTGTCTGTGTGTGTGTGTCTGTCTGTGTCTGTGTGTGTGTGTCTGTGTGTGTCTGTGTGTGTGTCTGTGTGTGTCTGTGTGTGTGTCTGTGTGTGTGTCTGTGTGTGTGTCTGTGTGTGTGTCTGTGTGTGTGTCTGTGTGTGTCTGTGTGTGTGTCTGTGTGTGTCAGTGTGTGTCTGTGTGTGTCAGTGTGTGTCTGTGTGTGTCTGTGTGTGTCTGTGTGTGTCTGTGCGTGTCTGTGTGTGTGTGCGCGTGGGTGGGTGGGTGGGTGGGTGGGTGGGTGGGTGGGTGGGTGGGTGGGTGGGTGGGTGGGTGGGTGGGTGGGTGGGTGGGTGGGTGGGTGGGTGGGTGGGTGGGTGGTGGGTGGTGGGGGTGGGTGGGTGGGTGGGGTGGGTGGGTGGGTGGGTGGGTGGGTGGGTGGGTGGGTGGGTGGGTGGGTGGTGGGTGGGTGGGTGGGTGGGTGGGTGGGTGGGTGGGTGGGTGGGTGGGTGTGGGGGGTGGGGTGGTGGGTGGGGGGTGGGTGGGTGGGTGGGTGGGTGGGTGGGTGGTGTGGGTGGGTGGGTGGGTGGGTGGGTGGGTGGGTGGGTGGGTGGGTGGGTGGGTGGGTGGGTGGGTGGGTGGGTGGGTGGGTGGGTGGGTGGGTGGGTGGGTGGGTGGGTGGGTGGGTGGGTGGGTGGGTGGGTGGGTGGGTGGGTGGGTGGGTGGGTGGGTGGGTGGGTGGGTGGGTGGGTGGGTGGGTGGGTGAATGGGTGGGTGAATGGGTGGGTGAATGGGTGGGTGAATGGGTGGGTGGGTGGGTGGGTGGGTGGGTGGGTGGGTGGGTGGGTGGGTGGGTGGGTGGGTGGGTGGGTGGGTGGGTGGGTGGGTGGGTGGGTTGGTGTGTGGGGGTGGGTTCACAGGTCTCCTGAGCGTAAGGGGATGATGACTCATTGCATGACTGATGCGGCCAGCATAGCCTTTAAACGTGCGACCAAAACTGCTTTCATCCCGCACGATCAAGGCCCCTTCGGCAACTTGATAGAAGTCTGTCTATCTACCATTAACGCAAGCAACCAGGTAGGTTTACCTTGAGGTTTTACAAAATGGTTACCCGGCTCAGAACTTCCTGGCTACTTCCAGCTTGAGCAGTCAGCGGCAGCCAGAAAATATTCAAGCCAAGGAAAACGGGCGCAAGACTTGACTTGCACGAGTAAGCGAGCCTTCCGAGCCTGATCTGGACAGGTAAAGGAGGTTTTAGGGGCACTTGCCTCATCTAGGCAGCCCTGCCGAGTACCGCGTCCAGTCCGAAGGCACCGCGGGCTCTGCCGCATGTGCTGCCTGACCAAGGGACGAATGCCTTGTTTGCACTAATAAGACCTCCTCCCCACGTCACAAACAACTCCCTTGAGCCGTTGCGTCTGCCCTGAGCCCCTAGCCCTACCCAGGCCGCGGAAGGCATTCGTTCTGCCGCACAGCTTACCATGCTGGTAAAGATTGCGAGCTTCGCTTACAAACAACAGCTGCAGCCCAGCTGCGTGGGACATCATATAACAAAGCATTGACTCTCTGATGCAACAGGCTAGCTTGCAACTATCACATCGCCCAGGAACAAAGCACCGGCTTACAAGGTTCCTTCATCACAGGGGCAGCCATATTTTCCAGGGGAAAACAAAGGTAACCATGGTCCAACCAAGGGCAACAAATGGGCGACAAAATGCTTTTTGCTGCTGATCAAGCCTCCTCACTGACCTCTGCGGGCTTCGCCGCACTAGTTTCGCCGGAGGCGGACACCTCAATCCGCCAAAGCGTGCCATGGGCAAAACAAGACGCACCTGGAAAACGACCAAACAAAAGCCAAAGGTATCAAACCACCAATCAGGCGGAGCCCAAACTTACCTCCCAAGAAACCCAGAAGGCCCACCAAAACTGCCGCATCTTTGAGGAAGTTGAGCCCCCCTCTGATGTGATCAAACCGAAAGTGTGGGTCCACTACAAACTCCTGCCAAATTCTTGGAAACCCTCGCATCTCGCTTGTGTAAGCCAACAAAGGCCTTCAGGAATAGCCAGCACCGCACTGAGAGTGACATTTGAGACTTGCCAAATTAAGAAACCATGAGCGCAATGCCAACGTAGCTTGGCAAGCCAACGCCGTCAGCGTGAGATGCCTCCTTGCCACCAAACCCCTTGCACAAACCATCAATGCCATATGCCCTGCCCATAAGTGGGTGGTTGCTTGTCGTTGCTCTTCTGCTGGTTTGGCTTATCTGGCTGTCCAGCATCAGCTTGCCAATCACTTGGCAGCAATAAAACGCCAAGCGGTCCAACAAGGGCTGGCCAAACCACACCCCACAGCAATCATCGGCACGGCCAAAAGTGCCCCTCCTAAAGGCCCTCAGATTGGGCACACCACTGACAATCCCATCTGCGGCTCCCCGCGAAGAGTGACAACTCCAAACCATTTCTATGTACAACTCCAGGAGATCCTCCGAGCAGCTGCTTGCGTACTTGAAACCGCTGGGGCTTAAAAAGCGGGCCCTTTAAAGAACATGCCGAACGAAGATTACCACATGGATTTATGGCAGGGTTGGGCAATGCAGGCAAGCATCCGCGCCTTCAAGCATCGTCATAGATGAGTTGTTTGCAAAGGACATCACCGACATCCAAAGGTCATCCAAAAACAACCCGTCAGCTTTCATGCTCCCACTCGCTTGTGCCGAGCGCTCCGTCCTGGTTTTGGCCGGAGTGACACCAAGTCCTTGACCTGGCGAGTGAAGCCGGGCATGGCTCGTGAAAATCTGCACGCCATGGGGTAACTTTGGGCGGCTACCCAGCGGCCCTGAGAGGACAGCAGGAGCGACAGGGACAAAAGAAACAGCGGCACTGAACAATTTGGACACCTTTAAAAAAAGAAAGGTCTGTGACAAAATCATGTGTTTCTGGCCCTTAAGAACATGAGACGATGTCCCCACCCAAAGAGCGGATGAACCCGCCTTTCCCTACCTGAGTTTGATTAGCACATGCCGAAAAATGGCTGAATTCTCCGAAGTGCATAGCAATCATCTGAATGTTGGCACTGAGCCGATGCTACTTGAGGAGCTGTTCAAACATCCGGCATCATCCGGCAAAAGCGGTACGAAGAAACTGGTAGTTGGAATTTGCCTTGTGATGCGTGCATGGCTTCGAGGGCAATGATGAACGCGTAGGGATCTCCACTCCACGTAGGCTTCAGCTTGTTTGCAGGCTTCTCTTGGGCGGGTATCGGTGCTTACTGGACGCCTTCTAGTAAACATTTTAAGAGCCTCTCAAAATGATAGGGGACAGGTTCCCTTTGAACCACCATTTTCGAAGGGTAAATTTGAGGACGTCACTTCGATGCCCGAAACCTGGCGGCCGGTGCCTTGGCGGCAGCCAGGCACACCGTCGCGCTGGCGGCTTCCAAGCGCAGCGCCTGGGGTGCTGCGGTCTGAGGACGGACCTTCTCGGTGGACTGGATGCAATCGGAAAATTCTCAACTCCAAAGCCCATGAGGGCGTGGGTAAAGGACCTTCATGGTGACCTCGCTTTATCTCTCAATCTGTGAGCTCGCCATAAAGACCGGGAGATCAAATCCAACTCACCAAAACAGCTCCTGACCGGGTCTTCTTGCATAACTGCATCTTTTGCTTAGAGCATATGTATCCGGGGAAGGCCGAAGCTGCTTTGGCGAGTTGGACTGGGAAGTGTCGTCAACGTCAGTCTTCCCCAAAACAGAGGTCGACAATCAAAGGCATCCTTGCAGAATAAGTGCTCACAGCCGTTGGCCCCGCAAGAATGCCGCAGTCAAGCAGCTGGCAGGCTACTCTCCTTGATTCACGATTAATGGGCGCCTGCCAAGGCTTGCCTACATGCAAGTTCTCAAAATGCAGAGCGCAAACTCGCAATACTGCATGGTCCGAGATCAAGGGATGAGGAAACATGCTTCGATGCAAATGATTTAGGCCCCAAGCTACTAACGTCTATACAAGTCGTTGACATCATGTTTCCGCACTGCCTTGGAAACCGTATCGCACACACTTCTCATGTTTCACGCCTGCTGTCCCAAAAATACTGAAACCACGTTTCCTCATCTGTGACCAAGAATGGAATCCGCGTCTGCTCCAGATTGTCCCTGCAAGCCCGATCTGTAACTTCAGCCCATTTCACGGATGTTCCAAGCAGTTTCATCAATTCAAGCCAAGTCTACCAAATGTCCAGGACAGGTTGGCGCAAAACCTGAAGGCATCACCCAGGCTGTTGCCGCTGGCCTCGTAGTCCGTCTCCGCAGCAGGCCTGAATGGCCACATGCACGGGCAATGAGTTGCACTCGTGGGCCGTAGCCCCGCCCACTAACAGCGGAAAATGAAAATGCAGACCACTGGAATTGGTCTGTCCAAACAAGGAGACTGCTAGTGGATTGGAGCAGGATCGGTGCAAGGATGGCAAGCAAGGGATGCAAAGTGTGCAGTGCCAGAGGCAACAGTCTTTGAAAGCCAAAGGTCCATCCACTTGGCTTCAGGATGACTTGCAAGCAGGGCGCAACGAGTTTCGGGCTAGGCACCAGGTAGCGGCTTCTCTTACTGCGGGTCCCATCTAGCACATGCATCCCCATCGGCCCAACATGGTGGCTTTCGAGATTGGAGAGTGATGGCTCCTGCCATCTCCTGCCCATTTGGTTTCAAGAAGGGCCTTTCCACATTCCCACCGCTGCATCTCAATCCACAGCAGCCATGGGTGCCTGAGAACACTCGTTGGGCATTGCCCCACCTGCCACCCCCCCCACCAGCTCCAACTGACAGTCAGTGCCGAGGAGCCAAACATAAGATCAGCATGCCACAAAAGACGGAGCTCAAACACAAAGAAACGCCGTTTCCTTAGAACAACCCTAAACATGCACGAACATGCAAGTAGCACTCAAGGTCTGGAATTGCAGCAACCCGAGGGAATCAAAACATTGGATTTAGTTCGACCTGCGTCTTGGGCACCAGCCTTGAGGGTGCCGACAATCGAGGAAGCACCTGAAGCCGGCAAGAAAGGACCGCCTTTGAGCATAGCCTCCCTGCTACATCTGACACCGCGGTGGCCATGGTGGCCTCGGATTCTGAGCAAGGAGTGGGCCTGCCCTGCCAGACGGGCAGCAAAGACGCAACTGCGGGCGAGGCATCTTGTACATGGCCAGCTCTGAATTGTCGAGTCACACAAAGAGAAATAAACTCTTGTCGCACATAATTGGCTCAAGCCACCCGCTTCCAACCATTTAACAACACTCCGATTTTGCGACCCCGGGGGTCACATGATGCCTCACAAACAAACCATTGTGTTCAGTACCGTTTTCGTTAAAAATACGTAGATGGCTCTGTGCATCCTAACACGGTGTGGAATGCCCGCTCCACAAGGCCTGATCCAGTTCAATTCTTCAATGGTTCCCAGTTGCCCTTTTGGAGGCTTCAGGGAAACATGTCCAGGGTAAACCGGGATGGACTATAGGCCATGCCCTGCAGGCGGCCATGCGCCAAATGGACGGGCAGAACTGATTTACTGCCCCCTTTGTGCTCTCCACAGCCACCACGTTGACTGTTTTGTTGGTTGGGCTTCTCAGCCTCCAATCTCATGAGAGCATTTTTGTATTTTGGGCGACGCTTGTGTCAAGCTATGCCATAAGTTCAACCAGCTCTGCCAAAAGTTTTCAAGGCGGCCCGGTTCTCCAAACTATCGCGGTTGTTGGTGCGAATGGTTTCGTCTTGGACAAACACAACCCTCCGCTCACTGGCTGTAGTTCTTATAATGGTCATGCAGTTCGCTAACTATCGGTATACCCCGATGCTCCCCACCAGGCCAAACGGTTTGGGAAAAATGGGCAACTTCTCACGTTCAGCCGAAGTGTCCGTTGGTCATCGGTTCCGCTCTCTTGGAACCTGAGCCGCCCGGCCACATCGCCCACTGCAGAGCTGCCGTCTGGCAGCCGCAAGATCAGCCTGGAGGCTGGACTGAACATTGTGAGTACCCGAATCCATCTGGTCCTCTTTTTCGAAGGCGTTGATATCCTGGCCTACATGGGGTTTCCAGTTTGGTCTCTTTCCTGCGCCCCATTCCCATCTGAAAGCTGAAAGCGTTTTTGTGTCTTTGAACAAAACCACGGTTGGGGAAGTGGGTGGACAGCCGCTCAAGCCGTGTTTCACCAAGCCCACGCAAATAGGTGCTTACATGCCCAAGGGTACCAATTCGCAGCCATTTCTCAGTGCACACCAAGAAACGCTTCGGCAATAATGCCATCACCTGTAACATCAATCGCATTAGTCGTCCTCAAGGTGCAGGGACGTGATCCGACTCGCCTCACTCAAAGCTTTGCAACTATTCCCCAAGTCGTTGCTTGCGTTTCGTCCTGGTACACGGAGTTCTCTGGCCTACGGTCGCCCTCGAAATGGAACAACTCAACTGGAGATGAATCTCAGGGGCCTCCAAGGGGGAAGGACACGCCAAACAGTTGGGCTCAGGGTACGCGGCGCGGCCTGATGGCCGGAGCGATGGCCACCTGGCATGCTGGAATGACTCGCTGTGTCCTGCAAATGGTCGTTGTTTCATCTCGGCTACAGTATGTGTCCAAAGGGGCAGAACAAGGAAACCTGGTTGTGGCAAACAATTTGGGGCAAGCTCGCAAACGACAGGAAACTCCCGAAGGAGCGCTCTTGCTACTGCTCATGTCACTGTGTTTGAAAGCTTGTGATATGATGGCAACATCAACCTGGTTCACCGTTGGGGAATATGACTTCCCTCGAAAAGTTGCAGATCTTCTCAATAACATTAGTCAGTGGTTATCAGAGACTGTTTGAAACAACCAGGCAAACATAGCCAAAATGGGGAAACCATTTGTAAACACATCGTGGCAGGGTCCCTTTTTGGAAACATGTATGTGTCGAAACTCCTGTTGAATTTGTTTCCGATCAGCAAAATCGGCAAGCCCAGGTGTGTCGTGCTTGGCATTTGGCCACATCTTGCCCGAAACTACCACCCTGACGTCTGAGAAAACGCCGAGAAGCAGCTGCAGGTCCAAGCAACAGGGGGTTCCCTTCGTGAATTTGAAAGTGTAACGTTGGGCCTGATGTGAATTATGATTGAATGATGCCAAGCCGGCCAGGATACTTTTCAAGAGGAAATGCGTAATACCTAGGGCACACTCCACATGGCTTTGTTTTTTTGCTGACATCCAATTGAGGTCCAGGAAACGGTTTGGATGCGTTTTTTTGTGGATCCACCGCCTGTGGGATATTAAAAGAGTACACAAATAGTACTAAACAAGAACTTACATGGGGGAGAAGGTAAAATCCACAAAAAGCACATACAAACCGTTTTCTAGATGAGGGGTACTGTGTATAAGGACATGACTCTGGAGTCTGGAGACCATGCCTCTCAGCAGGCAGCCCGCATCAGGGACCCTAAAACATCTGTCATTAAGCCTAGCAAATGATTGCAAATTTGCGGATGGCGTGAGTAGCCCATTTTTTGCACTGGCAGAGTCTGGTCCTTGCCTGGCGTTACCCATCACTGATCAGATCAGATCCTGGCTGACCTGTGCATGGACATGAACGTCAGCAGCTTCGTCACTGGCCGCATTCACTCTGCAAAGGACTTTTTGGAGGAGCCGCAACAGCCCCTCACCTGCCTGGAAAGCAGGGTGCCTGCATGGTGTGCCTTCACTCTTCAAGCGGATGCAGCCGTTCAGCTCGGGAATCCACCTTTTCCTCAGTTGTCCTTGTCACTGCCCAAAGCGAGAAACACAGTGGAGACGCGCTTCTAGAAGCTGTCCAGCACCTGCAACACACAATTTCCGCAACGAGTCGCTGAGCAAGCAGGAATGAACTCACAAATTGCAAATTGCAAGAACTACGTCTGCAGCGAGGCATGCAACTTGAAGCAATCGCCTGACACACATGCCTGATATAAGCCCAGTAAGCAAAGGCATCTGCATCCGTGTTTTGTGTTAGTGAATGTGCGGTCTGTGCGTAGGATGGGTGTTGCTGAAGGTTTGGACATGGACAAAGGTTTGTGTGTGAGAGGGAGAGAGTGTGTCTGCGTGTGCGTGGGAGAGAGTGTGTCTGCGTGTGCGTGGGTGTGTGTGTGTGTATGGGTGTGCGTGTCCGTGTCCGTGTCCGTGTCCGTGTCCGTGTCCGGATCACGGACGATAAAAACCCGGCGGGGGGCCACCGGGGACCAGGGGGGGCGGTGGCCAACGAAGACCCCCCTCTGGTCCCGTGAAAACGTACCCGCTGTTGGTCCCTTTGTTTTTGTGATGTTGGGTCCCCAAAAGTCGCTGTCTGCTTCCTTTGTTGTTGATGCCAAGGGAAGCCAAGGGTTTCTTGCTGTCTTGTCTGCGAGTGAAGCCACTCGAGATAAGTGTGTGGGTGCGCGCGTGTGTGTGCGTGTGCGCGTGCGTGCGTGCGTGCGCGTGCGCGTGCGCGTGCGCGTGTGCGTGCGCGTGCGCGTGTGCGTGTGGGTGTGGGTGTGCGTGTGCGTGTGCGTGTGCGTGTGCGTGTGGGTGTGGGTGTGGGTGTGGGTGTGTGTGGGTGCGTTCGTGCGTGCGTGCGTGCGTGCGTGCGTGCGTGCGTGCGTGCGTGCGTGCGTGTGTGTGTGTGTTTGTGTGTGTGTGTGGGTGTGCGTGTGCGTGTGCGTGTGCGTGTGCGTGTGCGTGTGCGTGTGCGCGTGCGCGTGCGTGTGCGTGCGTGCGTGCGTGCGTGGGTGTGCGTGTGTGTGTGGGTGCGTGTGCGCGGGCGTTCGCAGGCGCGGGCCCGGGCGCACGGGCGCACGGGCGCGCGCGCGCGCGGGCACGCGTTCCTGCGTTCCTGCGTTCCTGCGTTCCTGCGTGCCTGCGTGCCTGCGTGCGTGCGTGCGTGCGTGCGTGCGTGCGTGCGTGCGTGCGTGCGTGCGTGCGTGCGTGCGTGCGTGCGTGCGTGCGTGCGTGCGTGCGTGCGTGCGTGCGTGCGTGCGTGCGTGCGTGCGTGCGTGCGTGCGTGCGTGCGTGCGTGCGTGCGTGCGTG